GTGGTTGGGGGGGGCGGGGGGGGGGGGGGGGGGGGGGGGATGTATCACAGATTACACAGAAGTATGAAGCAGCACAACCGTTTTCAGAATTTGATAATAAAAATGTTTCTTGAGCAGCAAATCAGCATATTACAATTATTTCTGTAGGATCATGTGACACTGAAGACCAAAGTAATGGCTGCTTAAAATGTAGCTTTGCTATCACAGGAATAATTTACATTTTAAAATATATTAAAATAGAAACAGCTATTTTTACGTTGTAATAATATTTCACAATATTACTGTTTCTACTGTATTTTGGACCAAATAAATGCAGCCTTGGTTGGCATGAAATACGTCTTCCAAAAACATTTTAAAAAATGACCCCAAACTTTGAACAATGGAATATCTTAAAGTTTAAATGAAGATCTGACTCTACCATGATAGTAACCGTAATGGTTGCTAAATAGATAATAGTAGGATGTTTCTCTAGCATGAACCCTTCAGTGAAATATATTCAAAGTCTGGAGGCTCATACCTCTGGGAATTTCTTCTTTTGCAGATATTCTGTGACATCTGGGTAAAAATGTGCTGCATAGCCTTCATTCAGACTGTAGATCTTCCCCTTCTTCTTAATCTTCACATCCCGGTCTACAAGTATAAACTCACCGATGGACTAATGATGGAGGAAGAAAGGATGCAGAAAGACTAAGAAGTAATGCAACGATTTAAAGTTAAATAGAATATTAAGCATGTAACATAATTCTGACTTACAGGATCAAGCATGAAGCAGTTGACTCCTTGGCCTGTGGAGAGAACCAGCATGGTAGCACTGCCATAAAGAGCATACCCTGCTGCCACAATGTTTCTGCCACTCCGCAAGGCATCCTTCTCTGAGGGTTCATCATCAGTCTCCTGGAGATCATGTGCACATAAACGAACAAGCATTTCATTCGTTTTTAGATGACTATAAAGGGATATTTGTTTGTACTGCATTTGGATCTGAAAGCCTGTGCTGTACCTTTCTGTAGATTGCAAAAATGGTTCCAATAGAAGCTAAGCAGTCAATGTTTGAAGAGCCATCCAGAGGGTCAAAGCAAACCACGTATTTGCCCTAGGCAAAATAAATAAAAAGTCAGGTAGTTTATTGGCCTATACCCAAATACATCAAAGTTGTTAGTTACTGTAATACATACAGATTTAATAACGCAACAAGAGAAAATTATTTTACAGACCAAAACAAACAAGTCAGATCATTTTCATTTATTAAAAATATACTAAAATTATATTAACACAAAATTGCCGTATGTAAATCAGTTTAAAAAAATTGGCCAAGTTATTAAAGTGTTTGAAGGGTTTACTTTTGACATTTTACTTTTACTTTAATTAATCAAGGGTTTTCAGATTACACAACAACAACAACAACAAAAACACTGATGCACACACTTACCCTGTTCTCTGGTTCTACAATGATGGCTTGTTCATTTTCTTCAGACACCAGAACACAGGATGTGAAGGAGGATTTAATCATGTTTATAACAAGATCATTGGACAGGACATCCAACTTTTTCACCTGGTCACCTGTAACATTTGTGCTCCCAGCAATTCCATAGCTGATAAAATGAAAAAGAGATTTTTAACAGAGATTGATTCATGAAGAATTATGTAGTCTTTATGCTTTCCTCACAGAGTCGATAACTTCGACCTTTGTCCTCTATTTCAGCAAGAGATGAGGTCTAATCATTGCCTCAGTCTGCAGTGTTTGTTTGCAAAGTAGCTGAAATGACCAGCCACTGCAACAGTACACTGATATACAGTAAATGTATATTAAAATGTGCAAAAACGATGCATCAGAAAAAGCTTTTTGCACAGGTGGAAATGAAAGTTTAAACTATTGAAAAGGTTCTAATCAATAGGACACTAAAGCACATGGTATAGTC